GTCACTCTTCGAAAAGAACCAAGGTTCCCGACCACAAACTTTAGGCTACCAATAAGTCAGTTCTTCGATAGCTGCAGTTTTTTTAGGGTCACTGCTCAAGTCCTGATCAAAAAGTGAAAACATGCTGTTACACAATTGTTGCGACTTCTAGTCATTGCGAATTTGAAATACTCCGATACCACAGTTTACCCTTGTGATCATTTTACACTCCTTACTGACTTTAAATAGGCACTGGATTTTTGTGATTCAGCAATTCTATCCCAGTAACACTCATTCACTGGCCGTACAGTCTCGCAGTGCCAATTCGTCTGCGCGCGTTGTGTTGCATTCAAAAAAGTACGCGCGGGAAAATAATTCAACGCGCAGCTCCCTGTCAGACTTTGCGAATCGCGATTCGCTAGCGTCTGCGGTCGCGTCGCGGCCAGTGAATCACTCAATTGGCTGGTACCGCAACGCGACCGCGGACGCTAGCGAATCGCGCGAATCGCTAGTAGCGAATCGCGCGATTCGCAAAGTCTGACATCGGCCTTACCGAGTGCCCGTGCTCACAGATATATTGAGTCGGAACTCCCTTTACGGGACTATCTGCATCGATAGGACACGAGGGACTGGTAACCAGGGTCAACCGTCCGTTCGCACACGGGGGGAGGGGTCGCATTTTGGTCATGGGCCGAAGGAGGGGGGTCGCAATTTCAAGGACTCGCAATCAAAATCGCGACGGTAGTTGATCGGTGGATAAAGAGTGAGGGGTTGTCATAAACTCAAAATAATTATTCTTCCAGGCTCGCCCGTTTCGTCCTGAAGTGTTTCTCCGCGTGAATTACTATACATCGTAAAAAATCTTTCTGTCTTCAGCAAAGCTTTAGGGAGAGCTCGCTTCGTCGCATCAGAGCGTGGTAGCAGTGCCAAAAACTGAGCAAGTCCGGGTCATAGCAAGATGAAATAGACTTCCAAATGCCAGCCACAGGCGCGTGCGTGGCGTATCCGAGGGCAAGACTTGCTTGTGCAGACCGCATTAGATTCGATTTATTATGCACAGAGAGACAGTTTTAGGCAAATCACGGTGTTATTCTTACGGAATAAGAACAAGTGAATGCATTGCTATGGAAGAATTGACTTCTCCGGCTCTCTTCTGAAAATTAAAATTCTAATTTTTTGGGGACGCTTCTTCCTAGAGAATTGTAGGACAGAAATCTCGTAGTCTTCAAAAATGTCTTCGCCCTCCCCAACAAGCTTTTGAAGGAAGTTATTATTGCTGAAAGCTCAAAAACTCGCATGTGCTGCTCAAAAACCTATGGGAAAAATGTTCGAACGTGTGATTTTCTCGGAAAATGAACTTTGAAAAACGGTTTGGTGCTTGTTAGAAAGAGCAAATCCTGTACTTTCCCATGAAAAAAGTGCATCACAAAAAAATGAAGTGAGTTATGGCCGCTGAAAGCCAAAAACTCGCTTTTGCACGGAAAATGTTCGAACGGGACAATTTTTTGAAAAAGGGGTCAATCACTAAACTTTTATACTGTTTTGATAGAGAAATATTTGAAGTTTCTGAAACTTTTTACAGCTTTCCAAAATGTCGCATACGAAAGATTATGGGCCTTCAAAGTTGAAGGTGCGCCTTCTTAGAATTTTGGGTTTTCCACTTCTAACAGAAGTACTTTCCGGAGAGTTAGGCAATCCTTGTAGTTTTCTGAAAGCGCACCTCAGGCACAGTTAAATCTACCTCAACAATTCAAAAAAGTATCCTCCATGTTCGCCTTTCTTGAAACCTGGGCATTTTGATGTTGAACAGTTGTTTTTTTTTGTTTGTGTGCCACACAGGTTTTGTACGGTGGAATCTTTATTGAGCCTGACGTTTCGACTATATCGTCGTTCCTCAAAGGCCTGAAAGCGTTTTGAAAACTCAAATGTTACCTATCCGCTCAATATGGATCCACATTTGACCAAGTACCACGTAGGCTAATGAACTAAGGAGTGGGAACTCCAAGATTGGGTCGCTTACCTCAACTCCACCAGCGTCACCGCTTCTCGCTCAACAGCCTCCCTTGATGCCCTCCAGAGACAGTAGAATAAATGAGACAACCAGTCGTGCACTGCTTATAAAGAGTGTACGTGCAGTGCATGACGTTCTCATTATCATAGTTCACAGAGAGGGATATAGGGTAAGAAGTCGGCAGTTATGGAGATGCATTCATTTCTGTTATTCATGCAAGGATTACGTTG